ATTATTTATATTTATTTTTTAGTGATTGTAAAATATTCATTATTAATTAATTTTTAATAAAATAGTATATATCTTTCGAAAGAAAAATTATTTGACCGTCTTCACAATGATTGATGATAAATGCATTTTGTTCAATTGCGTAAAAATAATTATCATTAGTCATGTCATAATTAGCATTTTTTATAAGAAAGACAGAGCGCTTGAGAGGATAAATTTAATCTATTTTGTACACACAACCTTATTTTTTGTTATATTTGTTACTATTCTAATTTCAATTACAATTTTTCATAAGAAAGATATTTTTATTTACAGATAATTAACAATAGTTTCTTTTCCTCTCTCTCTCTCTCTTTTTCTTTCTGCACTGATTAATATCATCGTTTGCCGATTATATGAAAATACGAGAATATAAAGTTTCATCCTCTGATCTTCTTTCTTTCGGTGAAAGCGACCGGGGAGTAAACAACTCCGTTTAATCCCAAGACAGGACTCTTATCGCTTCTTTTATGCATACTTTGTAGACCTCGTTAGTGCTCTACGCTCTACGTACTTTTTCAACTACTTACTATTTAACGGGGCATTTTTTAATTTAGCAAGCACACGAAGCGTCCGTGGATAAACACTTTACGTGGATATTAAAATTCCTTCGAGATTCTTCTCAAGTTTATACTGTTTTTTCTCGGAGAAGGAGCTTTGCTGAGAGATAGTTTAACATTCTTCGGCAAGTAATGGTTATCTATATGCGTTTATTGGTTGTGTATGTATTTCTTTGCAGCTTGTCACATAAATTACTTATAAATTATTTAATATAGAAAATGTATTAAAAATTTTGTAATAGAATTAAAAGAAAAAAGGCAGCAACGGTAAAAAACAATTTTTTAAATTGATTTTGACAAACCTTTATTTGCTGGAAGATAAGCTGTTACACTAGTTCTCAGTTTTTAGTTACTGTAACATTGTCTTTTTAATCGCATTGAAAAATCTGACGCTGGAAACATATTTAAATGAAATTCCACTTTCAACCGATTGGGACATGCGATAAAGTACGTATTTCGTTTCGCAATGCTTGTACGTACAAATGTGAAACGCGTCGATCTACTATTTTGCGTTCGGCATTGCGGTTTTTCCTTTATTTTCTTTCTTTTTTTTGTGACGAAAAACACGGAGAGTAATCGACTGAATGAAAAGCTGTCTGAATGAGAAGGAAGCGGATGAGAGCGAGTCTGCTCGTATTTACGCAAACTCGTGCAGGCGCGCGTGAGAATGAGAGAACCGAGACGGGACGGAAAATAGCAGCAGCGGAAAAGTGCGGGAAATCGTGCTGTTTCGATGCCATTTCCATGGAAATTGAGCACCTCGAGAGGGCCCGCCGGGCTCTCAAACCACTTTTCGACGTCTCGATTCGTGGCGCGCGATAAAGTGCCGAAAAGAAAGAGAAAGAGTGCGCGCGAATTATCTGCAAGAGATCGAGAAATCATACATGTATTTTATTTTGTAAAGTAAGGCAATTAGAAGTACATTAGTACTGAAAATAGAGAATCGTATATCTATTTTAACTGAAAGGTATTTATCAAATTTACAATGAGCAATATAGATATAAAATTTCTATAAATTATAATTTTCTTAATTACGAGGGTGAAAATCAAAAAGTGAAGAAGCACTTAAAAAGTCAAACTTTTTAAAAAAGTCACATGATTTTTAAGGTTTAATATTTCAATTAAATGGAATGGATCTTTTTCAACAATTAAAAATCGTTATTGTTACACGGAAAAAAATTTTATATAAAAAATTACTATGTACGGCAGTAGCCGCGCGGACCATGAATCATAAAAATTTTTACTATGTTTTTTACGTAATGGCCATAGTATTTAAATATAATTTCTCTTACAATCCGCGGTTACCGCTGTAATAACTTTTGATATAAAATTTTCTCCGTGTACAAGATAGTTTACTTTTGGCTTTTATCTCACACTATTCCTTTTCATTAATACATCCAGTTCTTAATTTTTGGTTTATATTTAATTAACAAATCCAAAAAATATCGTTGCTACGACAAAGTGTATTTGACATTGTTCGATAAAAGAAAAAGAAGAAATAACAAACGCAGCGACAACTAGCAATAAACATGCGACGAAAAAGCAAAGCAAAGATATCGACCTGTAAATTGAAACATGTACAGTTGCGGTCGCTTTGAAATAATTACGAACAGCGCCGCCGGTATTTGTTTTGAACAAAAAGGTATGTGTGGTGCATATTGTTTTTTTTTTTTAAATAAAAAAATCGAAATATTTAGTTTCTGCCGATAATTTTGATTGAGTTTGCAGCAGTTCGTGCACGTGAAACATCAATCGTTGTTCTGTAATATATTGAGTATTTTATCTCTGCCAAACTTTTTTAACTCGAGAAAAAGTACTTTCAAATTTTAATTTGCTTTTTTTTTTATATATTTTGCTTTTATTTATATATTTTTAATATCCACATTTATGCAATTATTTATTTGTAATGTATGTTTCCGATATATTTTTTCGAAAGGTGATAAAGAGTCAGAAGCTTTTTAGGAATTGCATTATAAATCGCCATCAAGTATAATTCCGAGAGAGATTATTTTGGAAATATCATATCCAACGATGAAACGCAATTCAAACTCGATGAAAATGATTTTACAGATCAATCGCTACGAATAGATGTGTGTGAGTGCACTTTCAATAGGTCACGTGTGGTAACTCTCTTTGAACTCGCAACCTCTTTCATTTAGGCTATTTCGCTAGTCCCGATTTTTTAGCCCTTTCAACGGCAAGTTCGATATTCCTTTGGTGGGATTTCGCACGATCGAGCATAGATAATATTAAAATTTGTCAAGAAATACGGTTGGAGCAAACGACGAAACTATTTTTCTATTAAGGATATAAAAGGATATAAAATTATAATAACGTTTATTAATAAAAGCACGTAGTTTAGATGAAAATTAAAATAGAAATGTATTATACATTTAACGATAAAATTACGAATTATATATTTCAGAAAAGAATATTTAAATGCCTCTCATATCAGCGCGTTAATAAAATATAATAAAATATTTTTCATCGCAGAAGACAGTCACGTTACGAATATTTAGTAGAATCGAAACCGTCGATATTCTCTGCGGAATGAAGTAAAGATATGTAACAAGATTGTCGTAAGAAAATAGGAAGCGCGAGGATCGGGGAGGGAAGCAAGAAGGGAAGTTTCAGTCCCGTGGAGGAAGTTTTATTCTTTCTTTGCGTGTAAACGAAACGAGAAAACGGAAATTCATGTTTGAGAAAATTTTACGCGAACTGAAATTTGCTCCTTTCTCTCGTTGCGAAAAATTTCGCAATTTCAAAAGATAGCAGTAGAAATATTGTCTGTTTTCATGTTATATTTTTGAGAAAGTTTTTTGTCAATCTATAACTCCTTAAAACTAAGGATTTGATTTATGAAGAATTGGGAAAACATATCTCACAGTTGAAAATATTATATGCATAAATCTTATATATAAAGAAAATATATTGACACTGACCGTTCGCCTCAGCACGGTCCTGACGGTCTCCGCGTCCTGTCTTGTGGGCCAGCGCGCGTAAACGACGCCGCTTAGTAGGACAATAAACACGCCGATCCAGATGGTCCACGTCAGGACATTGCGCGTCCTAGCGAGTAGTTTACGTGCCGTTCTCGTCGAGATCACCTCCTGCGTCGGTATCTCCAGCTTCTGCGCCCGTCTCAATATATCCTGGAGTCGCCTCTTTGCTTGCTCTACGTCTGGCACTCCCATTGTCTTTATCCTTGTCCTTATTCACTCAGTCCCTCGTTCTCACCACGTCGATCACGAATCCCGCAGGACCGCGTCCTCGCGCGCAAGGTAGCTATCGAGGGCTCACGATGGAGACATTAAGATTCGGCGGGGTCGTATGGTCGTCTCAAATAGAGTACTCCTTGTCGTTCTCGATTTTCTGCAAAATTTACCCCAAGCTTGACTACTACAATTTATTCCGAGGGTGATTTTCGATTTGCAACACCGCTCGTCCGCGAAATCTCTCTTAGCTTGTGTGGTCTTTAACTTCTTTATGTGATAGTTTTACACGCTTTACATAATTATTTCTAGACTGCAACGCAATTATTAGACACCGATATTTTTGTCGATATTTATCCAATCCAAAATTTATTAATATGACAGGAAACAGTTCTGATAATCATTTTATTAGATCCGCGCTTTGTAATACTATTTATAGAAATATGCGCAAGCACTTTAATATTAAATTAGTTGATATTTAATTCAGACGGAAGAGTTCGGAAATATCGACCTCTTTGCCGGTCCCCTTTGTCTCTCCCTCGACTCCCGGTTAGTAATCGATTCTAGAATTATTCCCGCCGCACCGTAGTAATTACCTAATAATTCCGAGATCGATCCCCCTTCCTCTCTCTACCTCGACAAGGATGATGCACACGGAAACTCGTCCCTAATTTCCTCTCACGTGAAAGTTCGACCTACTTTCGGTGCAACCTCCAGGATTATAAAGGCTCGCACACGCGACAGGCCGGCTAACAATTTGATGTACAATGCATCGCAGTCAACAAATTTCCGTCGAGAAGTCAGATTCTTAAATTATTTACGGGATAAGAGTAAAGAAAATGTTAGAGTTAATTGTATACGAATGAGAATATAAGAATCAAATCAAGAAGTGTTTTGAGATATAATTTGTTGCATAGAATTATTTTTATGCTAAAAAATAATTTTAATAAGCTATATCAAAACTCTATTACTTATTTTCTTATATACATTATTTTTATTTTTATATTACTTAACAGCATTTTTCTACACTATATTTTATAGATTCCAAGCTTAGCCTTTCAATTTGGAAGAAAAAATATTTAAATTCTCAAAAGTACTATCTTTTCATCAAACTTCATAACTTTTGCTTCTCCGAATTATAGACTCAGACTTTGTTCTGCGATTGAATGAGATCGTTTTTCGGGTATCTCGAGAATTTCCGGCCGGGAGCTCCTTCGTTAGTTTCTTATAAATTTCCCGAACAAAACTCCGTCGGTCTTCTCCGGATTACGTCGCGACGCAGCGAACGGGGAAAAAAATCTTTTGTGAATCTTGTGAAACTTTCGTGCCCGGCCGCACCCCAAGGGCGGGAAGGCGGTTGAATGAGAGCGGTTTATCTTCCGGAAGAAGTTTTCTCGTGTATGAAGGGAGGAAATACCCTTTCGATCAAACCGCAACGACGAGCCGTGAGAGACCATAGGGACAGTGATTCTCCATCATCTTCCTCTCTGTTGGGGCGTCGATCATTTATCAAATGCGCGTTCAACATTAATCAGCTGTTTCTGTACCGGTAAAGAGATCTCCAGAATCTATGATACATAAAAGATCGACCAGACTCCAAGTTAACCGTTAAGTATCTGGAAATACGAATCATTTTATATCTAGAAAGTTGATTTTATATATAAAGCAAAGAATTATATCACGTAAATTTGACAATATCCAGATTTCTCAATAACATCCTTGATAAAATTATTTACAAGATTTTGATGAAAAATTCAAGTATAAATAGATAACAGAACTTAATTTCCAATTTTAATTTTTAATATACTTTTTTTTTTAAGAAATTGTATCCGGGATACAATTATCAAAAATATTTAATGTTTATACAAAAAAGTTATAACACCTCAAAGTTTCACTAAGAAAAGCTTTTACTAAAAAATATTAGCTGCATATTTCTCGAGAAATCTCTCATTAACAGTTGATAAACTTGAATTAACATCTGGATAGCCTTTAGGTGTTGTTATATTCTGCAACTATTTCTAGAGTGCCTCAGGGAATGTTACTCTGAACGAAACTTTGATAGTATCCAGTTCCATTCAAAATACAATTACAACATAGAGACCTGCAATACTAGTGATAGCATCGCGTTTCAAACCATCAAACTGATGTTTTCGATGCTTGGCTCGATACTCTTCTCGCACTACTCCGATTTTCCAAATTTCCCAAACAACAGACTATAGTATTTGTTGTTGGAATTGCTTTCTTATTTTCTTGATTTCAATGCTGGTGAATCTTTTGCTCTTTATTTTAACTTGTTGAATTTTTCTTTTATCTGAGTTTTAAGCGATAAAAAGAAACAGCACATTTTTTGCAAATATTAATAGATATAAACAATAAATTATTATTCTTTATTTAATTTCAAGTGAATTTTTATGCTTAAATGAAGTTGTGTTTCTTTTTATAATAAAAATTAAATAATCGTAAAAAAGAATAGCAATCAATGTAAATAATTTGCAAAGAAGATTTTGTTTTAAATAAATTTATATTTGTAACAAGCAGCGAATCCGCTAATTTAATTGCTGCTTAAGGAAGATTTTAACGCGCTCTCACACGGGGCCCGACACGAGGGCCGTAATTTAAAATATAGAGAATTTATGTGTAAACTCTTGGCGAATAGTAATGTCGCGTAGCAAGCAACGAATCCGTTTTGTGCTTTAGCGCGGAATAACTCATTTGACGTAAGCTAAACACGATGAACCAGATTCCGAGACGCGCGTAGGATATCGCTAGCTGTGTCTACGAGTCCGAGATTGTCTCGGCAAACACGCTCGCTAATTCATAATCTCTCCGGAGACCATTCTGGAGATGGAGATGCGCCACACTCGATTACACTCGAAGAGAATCCCTTCGCAGGGAATTCCATTCCGACGAAATTATAGAAATCTTCCACGACGAATAGGGAAAATATGCTAATCAAACTTAATCATTTGGTATTAATGATTAGGCAAGCAAATCTATATTTAAATAGAATATGTATTCAAACACACATTATGTGTTATAACAAGTTTATATTGTGCACATTACATAAAGTGTGTTAGAAATTAAAAACTTAAAATAGAGTGTTTAGATGGGTTTGATTTTTCTTTGACAAAAGTAATTATTATCGATATAACAAAGAATATCGTTACATGCTTACAATGTAATTGATCATTTGATATAAATATTAATTGCTTTATACAAAGCCAATTACAATATTGGAAATATTCATAAATGTGATAATATTTTTTTCTATTGCAACATTGCATTCACCTGGTTGGTTCTCTCTTTTATCGCTTTAATTACAATTTGAATAATGAAGTCCAAGAGTATCGAGGCAAGTTTCTGTGCACGTATTCGTGTCAGGATTCGCGTCGGTAATTACGTTATGATGATCGCGTCTCTGAAGATCAAAGGGCGATCATATATGATTGCACTTGAAGCACGTCGTCCGACATCAAACCCTTTCGTCTAATTGCAGTGCTGTTGACTCAAAGACACAACTCACACAAGTCAAGCTTTTGCATTTTTGAATTTTTCAGTTTAATATGCTTATTGTAATAATATATCGCTTGCGTTATTAAAATATATTTTATTAAAATTAAAATTTATTATTTATTAAAATAAATTCCACAATCTTCTATCTGCGATATATTCACGTTTAATGATCGAACATGATAGAGTAATTAAATATGTTTGTAATTTTAATTAAAATTCTCACGATCACATTGTTAAATTGTTGAACTCACCGATTAATATTGTAACACGTTCCTGTCAGATGCACTTCAAACGCGATAGTAAATGACTGATAATAATTTTATTACTTTTTTATTAATTATTATGCGATAAAAAAAACTCGATATCCTACCGTCTCTATTTCTATTCAAAGAATGACTAAGGAATTGTTTTTTGTGATCAAATTGAGACTGATATATAAGCTTTTTTGTCTTACACATTGTGTTGCTGAAATCTTTTCAACTGATTGTTATAACATTGCTTCATAAACATTAGTTACAATTATTACATAGAAAGTTCAAATCATTTATTATGTATTTTCTGATTGTCTCTTTGGAAACATTTCAGGAATTAGTTAAACTTTGATTGACTCCAATAAACTAAAGAATTTGCAATGCAATTAGTACGTTGCCAATTGATTATTAATAAAATAAAAGAATAGCGTTCTATTTAGCTAGTTATCCCATTAAATCTGTTAAGACGGATCAATTTTATTATCCGTTGTATATATCATTTTTACATTGCCGAAATAAATATCTGTAACGAATTGTCGTGGTTTAATTGGTCATCATGCTTTCGCGATGCACGAGAATTACGTCGGTACACATTCCACCGATGTCAACCAATTTTATCTCCGCGAATACGGCACTCACTCGTATCGCTGAAAATCTAATCGTTGTAGGATTTCAGTTGATCACTGCAATCGGCAATATAGAACAATTAAATTCGCGCATATTCCGCTCGATGTCGATTAACGCTCGCTGAAACTCGTATCTCTTGCTTTACACAGGTGACAAATGAATCGTCAGGTGATTGCCGCAGAATTTTGGTAAGCCAATTTATTGCCGAATGATATCTGCCGATTAAATTGCTACACGTTCTACTCTTAGCTAATTTTATCACTTGATTACAGATATCATTTGATTAAATAGTAGCCGAGTGATGCTACTTAATTTATACACGTTGTTGCTAGCGTTGACCAATTTCATCTTCATAAAATATTATTTTGCATCACTGAGAACACGGCGACAACTGATACAATTGTCATGTGGAGTCAATCAAAATCAGCACTGTCAATGTGACAATCAAATTGCTGTACAAACTGATTAGTATCGCCGACTAATGCGGAACAATTGAGCCAATACACATTTCGCCCGCATTAATCCGACTCTCGTCATTCGAGCGTAGCTTAGTTATGCGGCGTGTACGATAAGCATATCTGTTGAGATTCATTGTTTAAAGAGATTTCTCGGACGAGCGATGTTTGATTCGGTCGTGCTTTCGAGATCCTTACTGTGTATCGTCACTCCTCCCTTGGCAAGGAGACTTTTACTCATCAGTGACACCAGCGAGGCCGGCATACGCAACCCCCGATTGACATATGAAATCGTACCGCATTTCGTGCACACGTGTCTCATAAGTCTCACTATGGTGACGAGTTTCTAAGCCGTGGCCGGCATCGTGACGTTTGTTTTTCGCCGCGCGAAACGCGTGCTTGTGCTGTCGGGTGGACGAGGAACAGAGGCGAAATGCGATTCCGCGAACGACGGCCTGATTCCCCGGACGAGCGAGAACTGACCGGCCTCGCTGAGGGTAGCTACCCTTATAGATATACAACGATTTGGTGCGCGCATGTGCTGCACCGGTGCTAACACCGCGCCACGCTGCGGATCCGGCCGGTGTGGCGCGCTAAAGGGGTGCGCCGATTGGACGCGGGGGTGAGCGTACAGCTACGAGCAGGAGAGAAAGTCGGTCGCTCGGCCGGAAAGTGACAGTGATAAGAGCCTCGAACACGCCGGACGCGAAAGCATGCTCGCAAGCCACATCGGAGCTCAAGATGTTGACGTGTTGCTTCAATCCTTTCGCGCGTGATTTTTATATGTATAAAATTGTAGAGAGATTGAAAATCGATTGAATTAACTATCTGGTAGAATTGACTTTTGTTGAATATGAAATTATAAATCTCTGTACGTAAAAATTATGCGAAGCTATAAATGATTTATATCGACATCTTTTGCTACTTGAATCTCTTCAGAATGGCTACTATCTTTGCTTAAAAAAAAAATATTTAATTAAAAAAAACATGATTAAAAATTTTGTAAAGAAATAAATTGTTAAAGAGAGAGAGAGAGAGTAATGTAATGCTTGCGTACGTTTGAATATGCATACACATGACCCGGCTGCAAAGTTATTGCGATATATATCTAATGTCTACAACGGAACAACGTCGTGCAAGTTTCGACTTACAGATAAGCCATATAATTTTAAAGCGATATGTTTTGTATTTTAATATTATTCGCATAAATTAAAAAATGAATTATTAAAATAGTTATATAAGAGATTTTACAAGACATTAACTTGAAGAGTTAAGCATGATGATAAAAGCATGATGAGGGAAACAGTTTTTCAGAAATTGATTTGTAGTTGATAAAAATCGTATTAAATTCTCTCACCGCGTTTATAGGTAATATGGATTATACATAAATTACATATACAAAATATGAAAAATAAGAATAACGTGCAAAATCTGTGACATTCATAAAATTCAATTTCCGTTCTATTCTATTCCTTTGGAACAGTTTTAGACTCGTCAATTTTCGTTTGCCGCCGGAACGGTATACCGTTGCAGGGCAGACGAGAGAAAGAAAAGAAAGAAAAAAAATTTCGCACGCTCGACGGATCAAAGAAAAGCGAGTAACCGAAGTAGCCCGCGGGAACGAAGTTTTTAATTTACGTCGCCGGGGTAATACGTTGACGACGACGAAACGTGGAATTCGGTGGGAAATATTCTCCCCAGCCGGGCAGTTCTCACTTCGTCTCGTGCTCAAATATGTGCTCGACTACTACGCGCACTATGCGCGCATACTTCCAGTCACACTCCTCGTGCCGCTAAAACTCCTGTAATTGCAAGAATCCTTCATCGACTTCCTACCGCATTTTCTGTCCAGCTCTTTCGCTACCACCGCTTTTTATTATTCGACCGGCTAATAAACTCGCGCAGAAATGTTCTCGTGTCGCTAACTATTTCAAAATGTTGCTGCGCTTTTGTGGAAAACTGCGTACCTCGAATTTTCAAGGAAATATTAATAATATTTAGCATAAAATTTATATATATTATAAATTTTATCTTATATTAGAAAAATAATAATCAACATTACTCGGAAATTTTATTGAATGTCTTCAAACATTTTTTACGTATGTAATTTTGAATTATTTCATTTCCAACAATGCATTTTATATTTATTAGCTACAAATTCCGAGATTTCAAATTATGAATCAGTACTTTTTTAAATACAATTCTATTCTTCTCTCTTGGGAGCACAGATAGGGATGCAAATACGAATAACATTTGCCTGTATATACCGGCCATTTTCTCTTTTTTCGAGGCTTGCTGACGAAACCATTGCGTGTTCGCGTGCGTTTGCAATTCGCTCGCATGTTCAACGTCGATAAGCGCTATCAGGAGTGTTCCGGCTCATTCGACGCACGACCAATTACTTTTGCTCCGGGCACTTAGCGGAGACAATGGGGGCACGTCGAAGGCGGAAAATCAAGTGGCGGGAAAACGGCGAGGCCCGTCACGTTTACCGTACAAATGTCGCGCGCAATCGTCCATGAAGATAACGAGAGATTGTTAATTAGTGATAGCAAAAAAAACGGTGCGAAAGCTTCCATGCATGGCGTGAAACAAAAGGTTTTTCGCGTAAAAGGTGCTCACGATGTGAGAGCTGATTTTTCCCGCGTTCAGAGATTTTTTTAACGTAGTTTCCGTCTTTGTTACAAAACAGCTATATTATTAATCTGACACTTGTCGTGTTCTACAATTGTGTTCAAATTAATATAAATACGTTAATAGAAATGCTATAATAGAATGATTATGATTTATTGCATATGATTTATTGCATTATTCGTGTATTATTAAAATTTGTCAGAGAAAAATACATGTATTTTATCGAGATGTCAGTTTTAATCTTTAATTTATGTTTACTGTGCTTGTTTATTACAAAATATACATATATTTTATATGAATAATATATTGTTCTAATATTCTATTCAAGTAAATTTAAATTAATTAATTAAATAATTAATAATTGAATAACATTTCTATTAACGTTCTCTCGTGATTAAAATGTCAAATATAGTCATGAAAGATTGACATATGAAGCTGACAAACAAATAATGAGTAAATTTATAAATGGATTATTTTCTACAGAAAAATATCAAATTATATATTCTTTATAATTCAAAGATTACTGCATACATCGATATTTAAATGTTCTTAGCTGCATTTTTCCTTTTTTTTTTACTAATATTTATTCATAGCTTATTTTAAAACATCCTAAACAATATTAACTTTATTTCACTTTTTTCATGAAAGAAAATAGGAATGCATAGAAAGAAATTCAGGATTGAGTATATATTTCATATTCCTTTATTTCTAATGATGATTTCTTTTTTTGTTAATTTGTAAGCCAGTTTTAGATTAATGAGGTTAAATGTATTTGAAGAAAATGTAAGAAAAAAAATAAGAGGAAAAAATAGAAAATTTGAAAGGATCGGGAAAATGACAGCAAAATTAACTTACGGGTTCTTTCACGATAATAAAATCTTTAATCAATATGTGATACATAGCGAGAAAATTGTAAAACTGTAAAAAAAGAGAGAAAAAATTACGTCTTTCCATACGAGTTTATTGACCCGGCCTCTATTTCATCGTTGATTTATTACTTGATACATCGATGTGAACTGGTTTTTGCACTAGTGAGGTTTTTTTAATGGAGATCTCTATCTCTATGCTTTGCAGCATTCCATTTTTTGAAAGGTTTCGATTATCCGCTTATGTGATTACACGTAGAATTATAAAATCGTATTAACGAGTTACGTATGAAGTAATTACCGTAATAAATAGAAAATTCCTTACCCATTTATATAGCAAGATACATTATGGAATTATCTAAAATTATAAAATATGAAAATAATCGAAATCTTACAAACTTTAGAACCAGAATTTTAAGATTTTGACAAAGAATTATAAACTTTGGATCACAATGGTAGATACATCGCAAATGTATCGATTTACTCCAGCATAAAAGTTCATCAACTTGTAATGAACAGAAGGGTCAAAGCGTCGTTACGCGAAGTTTAACGGGACGAAAGCGCCGTAATAACATCGTCGCGGGCGCTTCTACTTGTCGATAAAACCAGGCAGAAACCGGAGGTAAAAGAATATTTAATCAGCGCACACGAAGTGGCACGGAGATAGGAAACAAAAAGTAGAATCGTCCCCCGAACGGAAGAGGCCCCTCGAGTACAAGATAGAGAGGGCAGATAAACGCGCGGTTAATTAGTATGCAAAGTTTGGGAATACCGTAGGCAAGTTAACGGTGGTGGCGGCTTCATCGGTGTTGTAACGCACGTGCAGACTTACGTACGCAAATAAATTGCTAGGAGATTATTACGTCGCAATTTATACGATGCGATGAGGCGTGAAGTGTAATTGATATGAATAATCGGCATAATTTGGAGGATATAAGTACAACATCACAATATTATATACATACATATAAGTACAACATCACAATATTATATACATGTATATAAATACGAGAAAAAGTTTTCTATAGGACATTTCAGATTTTTAACATTTCCTTTTATTTGCAATATCTTTGTTAACTTCGAAAAGTTATTAATCAAACTTAAGCTTTTCATTAAGAAAACTGTTAAGAAAGTAATTAAAATTATTATTGCTAAATTATTATTGCTAAATATTTATAATTTTCTCAAAAGCTATAAAAAAATAATAAATATAAAACAAATGTTTTATGTGCAACAGTTCAATATCATTAAGGTATTTGTCAATTTTGAGTTGATGCTCGAACAGTCTATGATACTACTACTTAGGCGCTGGATAAAGCACTGAACGCGAGATGATGCTCTCTCTTCAAGAGAAGTAAAGATTGATAGAGAGGGATAGGAAGATGGACACTAAGTGGATGAGAGGCTAGATAGAGAGGCGAAGATATCGACTGGCGAAATCTCAATGAAACAAAGATACTGATCTCGCCTCGAAGTCCCGGCAAATCTGCAGGAAGGAATCAAGAAAGAGAAAGCAAGAGAGTCAGAGAGAGAGAGAGAGAGAGAGAGAGAGAGAGAGAGAGAAGCAAAAGCGATGGTGAGGTTACTACTATTCGATACAACCAAAAAGAACCGAGGATGGAAAACGCTCGAGGAATAGATATCGAAAATCGAACGATACGCATCTGCCTGTGTGATTTCAAACGGGCAATATCGGTCTACAAATCGCGCAAACGACTACGAGAAAATGTCGAAGTATAATAATGAATCGCGAACACAGTTGCCGCTGTACTTGGCCTCGATCTTATCGAAAATCAGAGAAAATCAAGTAGAAAGGGTTTAGTTTGTGTTTCGTGTCCTTAACAAAGTTGTTGGCTACAGACGACAACGTCAAGTAAATTTTACAATTAAAATATAAATTTGTAGATAATGACTTTAAAAAAAATTAAACATTAAATCTGTTTTTATGACAATTTTTA